GGCCTGGTCATCCCTAACTCCCCCCCCCTGCTGTCCTGGTCACTCCTAACTGCCCTCCCTGCCAGCCTGGTCACCCCAACTGCCCTCCCTCCCCTGCAGGTCCAACACCCCCAATTCTCTCCCTCCCCTGCAGGCCTGGTTGCCCCAATTGCCCCCCCCCTGCAGGCCTGGTTGCCCCCAACTGCCCTCCCCTGCAAACCTGGTCCCCCCCAACTGCCCTCCCCTGCCGGCCATCTTATGACCACATGGAGGTGGCCATCTTGTGTGAGGATGTGGTGGTCAATTTGCATATTGCCTCTTTATTACGTAGAATAAACAAAAAATTTATGGTGTAGTGCTATGCTCAGCTAAATAGTGACAAGTCTATTATAGATTAAGAAAACTAACAAAGTACAACAAAACCTTTTTGTGAGGATTAAGGAAAAGTTCCTTAGAGACAATTTAGCCTTTTGCTCTTTATCCCTCTTTTTCCTTCCTGTTAACTAGTATGTGATGGCAAGGACAGAAGAGTTATTTGACACTATGAGAAAAAAAGACCGTGGGTATATCTAAGATCACCACTGCCTACCTTAGACTTGTCATTTATAAGAAAACTAAATCACTTAATTCAGTATAGGCAAGTCTGCTATTTGCAATTGCATACAATGTCTCATTAATTATTTGCCCTATAGAGGCAAAAAAACCCCACACAACTTAATATGTTTATCATCTGCAATTACCAAATCATTGTTTACTAAAATTCCCTTTCCCTCTTCTTAACATAATATTATTCTTTTTAACAACATGATGTTTCAGAAACAGTATGAAATCTGTCTTTTCATTTCAGGAAAAGTAGGTCTCTATCTTTTATAAATTAATTTCAAAGGAATATTGTGAGATTAACACTAGGAAAAAAATACAATGAACTATCATTCACACTGATGGTTTAAGATTCTAGGGGCAGGGATCTAAGCATCTGCTTTGAATAAATACCAAAAACTACCATTAATTTTCAAAGAAAACCAAAGATAGTTCCACTGGGATAGCATACTCTGCAAGGAGAACACAGAATTATTGGATGTATCCTTTTTCAACTTTCACAGCTATTAAGAAGAGTAGCCAATGGTACATTGACTTCCCATTAGAGTTGGTAACCTCCAGAGAGACTATGAAGGCAGAGAGCATTCCACAAAGTTGCTATTTGATAAGGGTCATTGATGAGTATATTAAGTTTCTTCTCTGTGATTTCAGATGGAGAATTTGCAAAATGTTATGGCTGCTTATTTGCCATTGAGAGGCTGTGCTGGAGGTTTCATTTATGAATATGTTACAAGCTCATATTGCTTCATGGAAGCTAATATACCTGGTATTTTAAAATTTAAGGAAGAAACAGACCAAGATGCAGACCCAGCTCTCCTCAGGGGAGGAGTACCAATTGTTTAGGTTCATTACCTGAATGAATAAGAGGAAACTGCTGAGCTTCTGGGTTAATGTTGATAAGGCAGCCCATTTATTTTGAAAGTTTACATACCGAAGA